GCATGATACAGGACATCCCGTGTACAGTATGTTTTTATATAATAAATGTCATATTAAATGAAGAATTGCCGTTTACGTCGTGAAAGGAGAGGTTGCATCTAATTTTCAGTGATTATTTCAGACAAGTTGAATAGCCACAAACATCAGGTGAAAAAATCTGTTTTAAGAGATACAAAATTCATAGGTAAAAAAACCTATTTACATTGTATTCATGTACGATGTGCGAGCAGAGTAGCATACCAGTGTCGACACTTTATTTTCGCCGACTCCTAAAACCGCTGACCGTCATCAGTGCAGGCTAAACGCATTCTGTGACTCTAGCATTATACTCAGCGACTACAGTGTACCATTCATCGGTCCATGGAAAAATGGTTGGTTTATCGACATATCGTAAGTTTTTGCTTCACCGACAAAATGCAGCGAGCAAACCATAGGTCTTTTAGGCAAAAAATTATTTCTTGTAAGACGGTCCCAAAGCTTAAACTTTTTTTATTGGACGGAAAATTATAAAAACTTATCAATACGTAATGCTTACTGTTTGCATAACAACCAGGGACGCAGCAATTCGCCGGTATTTTGCTCAGTTTAAAAGTCACGAAACTTGTTTACATCCGCCATTTTGATACATATATCAATCCCATAGTGCACCTAACCGGAAATTCCGTGACGTCATTATGGGTAAGGAGAATTGATTTTCCTTTGAAGTAATCATAAATGTTGAATGACTGAAGGTGATTCTGTACAATATTATAGAAGAACTTGTGTATTGATAATGCAGTAGAAAACCAAACACGAATGATTATAATGTTCGATTTGTAAATACATTTTTTTATGTACGCCTATAACGTAAAAGCTTCAGAGGTCAGTGGCAACGGCTTACCAAAGTTTCTACTGCTCCTCGTCCTGTATAGTCAAGAGATGGGGCATAGTCTAAATCTATTACTTGAACATGAAGAGGGAGGGGACAACGTCCGAGTTAATCAACGAAAGAGAGTTGGTTACATCGAATTTTAATTTTGAAACCGATCGCAAAACTGAACACACCAGTAACTAAAATCTCTCAAAATCCCCTCAACTCTCTCAAAGTCAATTCAAATTTTGAGTGGCATTAGTGTAGACTGGGAATTGCTAAAATATATCAAATCTTCACAAATTCTGTCTTAAAGTTATGGCGAATACTCAGGGACCCAAAGTCACTCAAAATCGCCTTATTCGACTAAAAGAATAGCACAGAGTTCCTGATGGTGTGGTCAGTGCCCTGATAGGTTTGGGCATTCCGTCAGCCACTCCATTAATAGTCGGTATACAAGACAACTAAGGTGTTCCAATTTAAGTGATGAGTTTCTCTAACTTAGTCACTTAGTTAGTTCTTAGTTAACATGTTTAGACTAGCCCTTGAAGGAAATGAGAGGTGTAGTATGATTTTCAAGATATGGTAGGAGGGGGAACATGGGGGAGACATTCACTAACTTCTCTGCCGCTTGCACTCAATTAATTTTCGTATTCATTTTTCTCGAGGGTATTACACTAGATTCATAACTAGGACTTTGTTATAATAAAAGTAATGTCATGCGGTTACCGGACATTTTGCATCGTCTTCAGCTCTTTACTGAGTAACTGGTATTTAATCATACCCATCTGGTATTTAATCATAATCATATTCTTGACTTTCCAGTTATATTTACAAGCTGTCTTTCCTACCAATAAGCTACCAATACTTGATGATTTGCCACACAATCGAAACAATTATTGTCCATCGTTCACCCTGGGTTCTTTCAGGTTATTCACTGCGGACTAGCTTTTTGAGGCCGAAAGGCCGAATCGTAAACTACGTTTTGATACCACAGTCATTTTGTCGATAACTGAACATTACTTATGTGCAAACGTTGTATGTGCACAAAGCATTTTTAATTGACTCGAAGAAAACGTACGATACTCAAAGTCAGTAAATTGTTACTGTTCGCTTACGAAATGAAACAAAGTGCATCAAAAGTAGAGAAAAACGAAAGAAAGAAATACCAGCTTTTGATGTTATAAAGGACCTCCATGGATGTCTTATATTGACTCATTCTATCATAGGCTACCCAACTATTGCTTGAGAGAAAGAAAAGAATGAACGCGCACGCTTTTATACTAGTATCGGCGCGCGCTCTTAGTGAAATGCGGATTACCTGTGGTATTACGTCACGATCCCGTGCCTCGCGGGATTCAATCAAGTCTGTGAAAAGGTATGAAACACTGGTCACGTGATGGACCGATGTGCGCCCCAGGTAGCTTGTCTATCCCTCCCTATCGTTTTTTTTCGTATGGACTTTGTTATGTATATTCATGATATTATGATCGAATATTTACTTCAATTCAATTCCCAAAGGTTAATCTGTAAGAATAAATAGCTTTAGCACATTACTCATAAATTGCTTGTAGTTTGTCTGGACCGAAGGACTCCGTGTGAWTTATTAYAACTGGCGACGAGGATGCTGGAAATTTGAAGCCTGAAATCTACTATGGCTAMATTTGGGAACTTAGAACCTTTTGAAGGAGGAGATTTTACTTCGTACAAAGAAAGATTGGAAGCTTTTTTCGTGGCAAATAATATTGGTATTGTGCCTGAGGATTCAAGCGACGCTGTTGTTCAAGCTGTACAACGGAGGAAAGTTGCTGTTACAATTTCGCTGATAGGAAAAAAAAACCTACTCTACATTGAAAGATTTATGTCTACCGGATTCACCTGCAGGAAAATCATACGACCAATTATGTGCTCTACTTAGTAATTACTACAAGCCAAAAGTGTCGGAGGTTGCAGAAACGTATCGTTTTCATCAAGCAATACAGAATGAGAGTGAAAGTGTTTTGGAATATTCAAACCGATTAAAGCATCTGGCCGTACACTGTAATTTTGGAACTTTTCTACCACGCGCTTTAAGAGATCAATTTGTTGGAGGAGTGAGGAATCCTGCTACAAAAACAAAGTTGTTATCTGAAGATAGAACTTTTGATCGAGCTGTTCAAATAGCTACTGCTGATGAAGCTGCTCAAAAGGAAGCCAAACTACTGCAAACTCATTCTGCAAATGTAAATTATACGAAAGGAAAGCAATTTCAAAAGAAGCCAAAGGATAACAAGGGTAACAGCACTTTAAGGAATCTTACTTCTAATGAACAACAACGACAAACAAAAGGCAAAG